ATCATAATAAGAAATGTGTGAAATGCTTTCTGCGTAACTCATAGCACCATGTTAGTTCGTTGTTAGACATACAAATATGATTTTAGATTAGTGTAGAGTTTACTATATATAACAGAACTGTTCTTTTATATTACAGCAACAAAACTGATGTCATCAATGGCAAATTGATTAATTTAAATTAATATTTGAATCCTTTGTTAACTCTTTTGGTATTTTAGTTTAATTAATCTATTATAATGCTTAGATATCTATTATGATTTATATGCATATTAATTGTGCAGCAAATATATACTTTTTAAATTACTATAATTAGCTATCGTTATCATTATCGTTATAGTTATCGTTATGGTTTTTGTAGTAATTATTTATATAATATATATTTATATTGAATCTTTTGAGGGGGAGAAACCTTTGAAATACATACACATATACAATTTAGTTCTTAAAAAGTAAGTAACATAAACAGTTACAAAAGTCGGTTGCTTTGCTGTTATCAAATGAGCCAACATTGCGTCTGTTAGGCTGGTAACAATTCTGGTTTGGGGCAATAATACGCGTTATGATTTGGGGAGCCGGGAGCTGTGTGGGATCTGTGAGTTAAATGGATCGGGAGCGCGTAATTGTAGTGGAAGACTTCCGCTTAAAACGTAGATAGTTATTAATTCAAACAGTTAGCTGTCGTCGAGTTTGATTCTTGCTTCGGCTCGATTTGCTCAGTTTCGATTAAATACTTATTGTTTATTATTATTATATTTAAACTTTTACACTCAACTATAACAGAGACACGTACAATTAGAAGTTAAAAATTTTGGTTAAGCAATTTGATTTTATGCAACTAGAAATTATGCTAAATACATGAACTACTTATGCATACGTTTACTTGTCGTATATTAACTGGCTGCTCACAATAAATCTGAAAAAATTCAACTTTTGATATACTATGCTGCATTATGAGTCTAAGATATATGTAGATTTAATTTAAACTACAATAAGCAAAAAATGTAATATATCTACTATTGAAATACAATAATTAGTTGATTTTACTTTTTCTCTGCTATTTGTATTATTTTTTTGTTTTTGTTTTACAATGAAACAATTATCATTTAAGCCTTTCAGTCGTTTGGTTGGTGCCGCTCCTTTAAACTAACTAAATTAAGGTCGAGCAATCAAGTGTATTTTCTTTTTATTTGGCTTAAATGGTCTTAACGTATGCCAATAAATTCTTTAATAAATGAATATATATATATATATCTCTTCAGCTGATTTGCTACAGGCATTGGGTTTGCTTAGTCCTTAACCAAGTGCAAATTAACTAAAGACAACTAAAAAAAAGAAAGAAAAATACAAACTAAAGCCAAAGCAACTTTCAACTGAAAAGCTGCTGCACACAACTGTGTCAATTGATCAAGTTCGATGTTTCATGAATATATAAATATAAATGCTGTCAGCGTATGCATTTGAGTGCCTATTTATAGTCTTGTCCAATAGCAATCGTGTTTTATTATTAATTTTAATGGACATTGTAATAGTCGAGGTGGGCCGCACTATGAGAGACTGTTGCCAAGAATATCTCATTCAGCTGTACTTAAATAATTAACCTTGGGCCGACGTATGCCTCGCTGGAGTCTACTTGCGAAAATCATTTTAAAATACCAAATATAACGTATTTACAAACTGTAAACAAAGGCAAAAGTTTTTGCTTTTATGGGTGTGCCATGCCGTGGACAAGGCAGAGGCTGTGCAATTTGGCCGAAACGAAAGTGATTTAATTCCCATATCGTTGGCAACAAAGCGCTAAGCCGCCAACTTAATTATGACTGGCAGGTATTAGCAATTGAATAATAAATAAACATGCAATTTATTTTTGTTTTCCTTCTCTTCTGTTTCGCTTTTCCAGCTGTTTGTGCCCACAAACAAGCAAATACATGTAATTAAATATTTGCGTAAAGCTTTCGGGCAACTAAATTTCAGTTTTAATTAAATATTTCACTACACGAAATTCTGATTGCCGCGTAATTTGCTAACTTAATCGCACATTAAATTGGCTTATAACTTTTCCCTACATTGAAGCAATTAATTTTGATAGAAATTTCCAATTACAAATTCAAATTTTTTACATCTATCGCACTTGAAACTTTATTTGACATTGTCAGAACTAAAATAAAAAATAGCCACAAATATTTTTGCTAAATTCAATTATATATGTGCACTTTGTTTTTGCTTGTATTTGCTCTAAAACAATCGAATGCTAATTAGGGCACAACTGGAGTGTGCCAAACATTTGCATAAAAACGCGTGCCTAATTGAATCATGTGCATTAATGCAAATGGCTTTGTAGTATTTAACTATTTTTTTGTTTATGTGTTTTTTAATTTATGCTAATTGCACGATCAGCCATAAATTAAATTTGAATAAGTACCCTTAATTGTTTGATAAAATGTCAATGCGCTAAAAGCCGACGGCAATTTGGAGAAAAGTGCTCAAAACAATGCAGAATTTGGACATGTGAGCAACGTGGCGTATGAGTTACAAACGGACAATATGCATTATTCTTATTATGCAGTGTTTTAGCGGAATATTGAGAAAAGAGTTTTAAGAAAATATCTGTGATCCCACTAAGTATACCCATTCATAATGATCTGCGACCTGCGTACTTTTATAACTTGTTCTGTGGCCAGAAACTAGAAACTTGAAAACTTTTTCATTGCGTTCATATTTTTGTTCAATTCAATGTTTCTAATTTGATTGAATGCCTTCAGTATAGGTATTAACTAGTCGGTTAGGCCCGTCTTTAAAGTTAACTTATTGTTAGTGTTGCTGTCGCTCGACACATAAAGCGCAAATGAATTTCGATGTTCCAGCGAAAACAAAGTCAGCTGAAAAGAAATGTGTTGCAGCCATCGTTCGGCAATCGTCCTGGTATCCTGTGTCGCACCTAAGTGCAGTTAAGTGCTCTATGTGTGTGAGTGTGTGTGTATGTGTGTCAGGGCCATGCATTTAAATGTAACTGTGGCCGTCAGCTGCATTCCTACACTTCTGCCTTGCCATCGATTTCAATTGTTTTCGATTTGAGTTTTTACCCATAGCCATTTGATGTTGTGTTTGGTGTTTTGCCCCTTCATTCTGTTGAAATTGTCATTTAAGTGCAGTTGTTGTACACACCGTTGATCCTGACAATCAAGTTGTAATATTGTTTGTTTGTGTGCGCGCACCATAAAAAATGCATGTTGATTGGAAAGAAAAGCCCTTGTCTTCACGCACTTACAAAAATAATACAGTGTTTGTTGTTTTTGGCAACTGACAGATTTTGTTGGCGCATTATTTATGAGCATCTGAACAATTTAAAGTCGACTGGCACTTAGCCTGTGTGTGCCCCAAATAAATGGCCTGGCCAATAAATTTGATACATTTGCGGTCTGTGTTGAAAGCTGAGCAACAACGAGAGCTAAAAGCAGCCATAAATTCAAGACATGGAACAAGCCGATTACATCTCCCAGAGACACGCATCTTAAATTTAGGTGCAACTAACCGCACAGTGTCTAAAATATGAAAGACTCATGTAGCAGCTGAAATTTATGCATAGTTCTGCTTGCCTTTGCACTTGGCCATATAGAAAATGTTTGGGGAGTATAAATGGGCCTCATGCCAAAACATTCGTTGCCTTCAGTTTCAGTTTTGTTCTCTCATATGTTCTCTGTCTCTCGCTGGCTCTCCCTCCTTCACTCGCTGACTGACTGACTGTCTGTCTGTCTGTCTGACTGAATGACGTGTCGTTTATTCCCGTGACTGGCGCATGCATTTGCTGATGCATAGCCAAAAATGTAAAAGATGAGAAAAAACACCGAAAATTATGGCATCTAAAGTGGTAGGGAGGCATCTATAGCACATCTGTGCATGCCCATTAGTTGTAGCTTTTTGTGGCTATTCTTCTGTTTTTGTGTAAAATATCTTTTACTGTGCGCCACATAGAATAGCAGCGTCTGCTTGTCTGGTGCTCGTATTCTTTGGATTATTTTAACACTTATGTGCCTTTCAGTAAAATGCTACAAGGCAACATAAACAAGTCGAACACAATGTCGCGTGACTGTGCAATGCTCTGTTTAAGCTGACGTGAATGGAAGATGAAAATACGTTTGAAGAAACTTTTTTGTAATCTCAGAAACTATATATCCCAAAGCTTAAGCTTGGAGCTCCAATGAGAAACTTGTAAATTGAATAACTTATTATTTTTCTAGATTGAAACTGAACTTGGGCTTTCATTTTAAGCTACATTCAAAAACAGAAATTAAATCAAATTAAATAGTTAAGCTGCTCTGCATGGCCTAAACTGTGAAGTCGAAACACTTCTGGTTGCCAAAGAAAAAATGTTCTAAATGATTTTTTTACGGCTGCCGCAGCCTGAGACGTAATTAATTTGTTGCGCAGCATCATGTCAGATCATCATGTATTCAGTGTCATTTACTTGGCAGCCAAACTGTATGTTTTCGTGTTTTGACCCCAATTCGAGTGGCAGACAACGTGCTTCCGTTTGCATGTTGTTTACCTGGCCACGTTGACATATTGCCGCAAAGCAGAGTTAGTTTTCACCCCATTTCTGTATTACCCGAAATGCAGCCGCAATTTGTGTTCTTGGAATGGAAAATTTGTGCAATAATATCAAGTTGAATGGCCATTGAGTGTGCATAAATGATGTTTGCATAGTTGAAACTTGTGTTTGCATAGCTGGAAGGTTTTTCTCGGTCCAATGTGTGGATCTGTGTGTGTGCAGCAACTGTGGTTCAAGTTCACAGTTGGAGGGCAGCTTTAGAAAAGAAACTAAAAATGTGTAAAATTGAAATTGAGAGATTCCATCAAATTCACAGCCGTTCATTGCTTTTGACATGAGCTACAATGTTCGTTACTTTAAAGCAAATAGAAAATGAAAATAAAAAACAATTAATTGAAATAAAACCTATTAGGGAAACAAAGTCTTTTTAACTGAAAAGGAAACTTAAGGCTTATGATAATACCTCTACTGGTAGGGGCATGCATAAACCAAGCAAGACTAACGCCTGTAATGCTGATACATGCCATGCCCATAGCCCATGGGTGTGCTGCCCATGGCACGTTCGGTAGCCTTCTCGATGCTCGCATAAACGCACCTGTAACAGCACACGTAGGCCAAACATCACTTGAACAGGATGCGCCGGAATGCGCGCCGGAAGTCCTTGTTGAATATGGTGTATATGGCCGGATTGAGCGCCGAGTTCATGTAGCCCAACCAGAAGGCAATCGCAAACGCCGACTCTGGTATATTGCAATGGCTGCTACAGGCGGGCACCAGTATATACAGAAAGAAGAACGGCAGCCAGCAGGCGATGAAGCTGCCCATGATCAGGCCCAGTATGAGCGTGGCGCGCTTCTCCTTTTTGCGTGCGATGCGTCGCTTTTCCTTCTCCGGATCGCGGGGCTTTGGCGTTTTGGGTATGGCTGGTTCCAGTTCGGTTTTGGCGGCTAGCTCCTTGGTTTTGGCCGCGGCTGCTGCGTTGTTCTTAGCTGCCACTGTGGCTGCCTTAGCCTCGTTGCGGCGCTGCTGGTTCGCTTTGCGTCCAAAGATGGGCTGGCAAAGGCGAAACTTGAGGGGCTTGACTACCGCACAGCGGCTGACCACGCCCGAATCCGAGCTGGAAGGATCGAATTCACTCACCATATCCGTGTCAACGCCCACAGAGAGAGCTCGACAGCGTCCGGGAATGGGCGAGACACGCAGCTCGTTGCTGCTAGCCGCACCAGGACTTGCTCCACTCGCTGCAGTCGCTCCGCTATGGCTAGTAAGAGTATTGGCTCGAGCGGCGTCTGTTGCCACGCAGCCATTGTTGTTGTTGAGCACATTGATGGAGTTGTTGCTGCCCATGGACGGCGGCACGGGCACATTGAGTCCAACGCCGCGGCCTGTGGCAATGGTGCTGACTTGCAGGGTTTCCTTTGGCGAGCAGGGACCACTGCTTAGTGCTGTGGCTGAGTTGGAGCCACCATTGGGATTGGCGTAGGCCAGCACCGTCTGAGCGGCAACAGCCTCCAGCTCGCCGGCTTCCGAGGTGGATATATCGGAGGCCAAATCCATGGTGACTGTCGGAATTTGCATGGGTATCGTCGCGCTATTCGGTGGGGTCTCAATGGTGGCGATTTGTCGCTGCTGGTGCAGCTGCAGCTGCGTTGCGCCGCTGGAGGATGGCATCGGTATTGTTCCTTTCTTGTTGGCGGTGGTGAAGCTCGTTACCTGCAAAGAAGGCGGCAAACAGTTGTTGTTGGTACACGACATTCCCATTTCGAAAATCGGATTTTAAAACCCGTGTCGGGGCGTCGGAGCGTCAGAGCGCAACGATTACACAAACAAGCACGTGAGCCCCACCAGCCCAGGGGCAATTAACAGTGCCCGAAACGCACAGGGCAAACGTGCTTGTTAATGTATGTGCGTGCATCAGCTTTAATCTGTGAGCTGAGAAGCAGCTGACACATCTGGTCTTCTTTGTTTGTCCGAATTGGCGGTGGTCAAGTGTCGCTGGACGTTTGCCTTGCGTTCGGTTAATTGAAAATGCAAATTGTGAATGAATTGGCCTTAATTGTGTTGCAGCAGCTCTTCTGCTTCTGCCTGTGGCCTTTGGCTCTTTTGGACGGGTCTGTAATTTGTAATTTGGCCAGGTAACGACGGTTACGCGCTCAATGTTCAATCATTAGAGATTTTGGTACCCAATCAGCGTAACTTTGCTCAATGATTTTCAGTTTAAATCGCTGCCATTTCGTGAAATGACGCTGCACAATGGCGCTGCAGCCAAGTGGCAAATGGAAAAACGTGGCAAAGTGCATTGGCGAAAGTGCTGAGCGCTGCTTTTGCAGTCAACACGTAGCACACAAATTGGTATCTAATTTAAGCAAACGGCGTGAGACACTTGCAGCGCTTTAATGCAGCGCGTCGAATTCGAGTGAAAAATATTGCGCATACGCCACATATGCGTGCCATCACCTGCCATAGGGTGAGCGCCGCCATGTTCATTCAAATGGCAAAATTTGCATTTACAGTGCTTGCCGCATCGCCGCGGCTGTTGCTCAACTTATCTGATTGAACGGACCTGCGTAACAGGCATGAATTAGCCGCCCACCATCAAAACACATTGAGCGACAGAGGTTGGATGTAGGAGGCTGGCGGCTGCGGCAGCCAATGCAGCTCAATTGCAATGCACCAAAGTAATCACTCAGGCCAACACCAAGCCCAAGCCCAAGCACAAGCCCAAGCACAAGCCCAACCCCAACCACCACCACAACCACATCCGCAACACTCGTTCGCAATTCTCTCATACTCACTCACCTGTTCGTTGTTTGTTTTGCGCGGATGTTTTTTAATGCCGCGTCTCGCTCGCGCCTTCGCGGCAAAATATATTCGTATGTACACAAAGACCATGATGCAGCTGGGTATATAGAAGGAGCCCAGCGCCGAGTACAGCACGTAACCAATGTCCTCACTTAGCTGCAAGTCGATAGAACGTGAGAGCAAGAAAGAGAGAGAGAGAGGGAGAAAGTAATTAAAATGACAGATTGCATATGTTTTTCGCTGGATTATCACTCAAATTACATAAATCTGAAACTTCAATAATAAAGTTCACTGAGCAGGTAAAGTTCAATTATGATTTTTATAAATATATTGATTAAACTAAATGGCATTTAGGTATTCTTAGCTGACTAAGCATAGACTGACATTTAGCGACAGCTAGATTAGAGGAGAGAGTTCAACAGGGTAATACAGTTTAGTTGTATACTATATATATATTAGCTTCATCAGAAGTTCGAGTTGAATTGATCAAGTCACAACTTTGAGTTTCGCTTAGTAAATATTAGTTAGTCTTTCAGCACTTAAGGTTTCGAATTGATTACAGTTAAAGAGAAGTGGAACCAATTTGTGATACCGATGATGTCTTAATGTTGAACTCTATGTATAAAGAATTTAATTTTGTGCACTTTAGAAGTCATGTTGACTAGCTGTTTATTGTTGAAGATCGCTGGTATTCCATTTGTGGGTAAATGCACAAAAAGATGACGATGGATTCACTTGCTTTTGCTCTCTTTGTGCAAACGTTAAAACCATAGAACTGAGTATAGAGACAACCTATGCAGGAGTTTCAGCTAACTAAGCTGAACTAAACATAACTTTATTTCTAATATTATACATCTAATATTTAATTGTGTATGTAATTTTAACATAAGGCACAAGTATTTTCTCATGTCCCTGTACTCGATCGTTTTGTATCGTAACTTGAACTGAACAATGTTAAAAAGTTTACTTAAAACCTGTAGCAATATACAAAATATTTATATATAATATTTATATATACATAACTTTCATTTAATTCAGGTCATAAAAGGCTTTAAAATTGTTCACGACATGTAATGTTATTGAAGATACGAAATATGCTGATCTGAAGTTATGGCCAATGCGTCTGATTCTTATTTATAAACTGATGTATCTTATAGTATCAGAGGCATGAAATATTTATTATGTAAATTACTTCGGGATTCAATTCAATTGAAAATTTCTAGAAAATTACCGCATAAAATACTTTTCCTCAAGCCTATTCCAAGCAAAAATGCAAATAATAAAAAAGTAAATTCCATGATTCAACTTAAGTGGCAGATGATGAACTGTGGCCAGTTTCCTCCCAAATTTTATATACTATTTGCGTAATATTTGATGGATTATATCGTTGGCCGAATTCTTCGATGTCTGTGTACATGGAATTTGCTGTCAGTTGAGTGCATTCGGGGCATTTAATATCAATGCAAAATCGACTGTCGCTTGACTGCTGGCAGTCACTGTGTGAGTTTTATCCACTTACTTAGTTTCCGACTTTTTGGAGCGTTCTTTTGATGGCTTTGGCATTATTTACTTATTGAGTGCTTTGGACTTACTGATTTACTGTTGAGTTCCATTCTATGAAATGGCAGCGGAAAATGCTTTGTCAGTTGCTGCCGTGAAAAATGGTCTAAAAATGTAAAGTGCACGAATTGCACGGGAAATTTCATAACGCTAAATGAAGTAAAAATATTAAATTACTTTACATAAAAGCTTTGGCAGCGCAATATCTCTGAGCCAGTCTACCGTGCTGCGTAGTGGAGAGGCAGCTGAAAGGAGGAGCTCTGTGGCAAAATGAATGCCATATTTCTTAGAACTTGCATTGCGCTTACTTTAAGCCGGCGGAATTAAATGGCGCCCAAGTTTAGGATCTCTACTGTTTTACGTTGAGTTGCTGCCGCTGTTGATGCTGCAGTTGCTGCTGTTTGTTGTGGCAGGCTGATTTGTTTTCGCTGCGAAACACCTCACAAAATTATGCAAATTAAGTGTTCTGATGAAAAGCATGGCAAAGAGAAAAGCTCAAAAGATTGCTCAAGTGCCACCTGAAGCAACGCTCTTGCCCTATTCTCCTTGGCTTCTGTTGCGGTTATGGTTGTTGCATAATGAAAAGCTATTCCAACAACTAAAAGTTGCTGTCGCTGTCGCTGTCGCCAGCACAGCCGCTGTTCACTTTAGCTTGATGGAAGTCAGGCATAATTTTGGCCAGCTGCTTAGACTGCTAGGTAGAGTTTGCAGGTGCGCAAAAATCGGTAAACAATTCCTGATAGCAAGCATTCTATTTGTGTATATATAAAAGATGTGCCATATCAGCGCAAGTAGAACTAAATGTATATAGCTTGTAATCCGCTTAGAGGGCAACAAAATTTAATTTGTTGTTGTTTTAGCCGAAGCCTGTGGAAGAGCCAACGGCTCAAGTATAGCTCGGGTTTATCATAAGCCGCAGCAGCAGCAACAGTAGCAACTGCATTGCTATATAAACTTTATTCTGGCTTTATTTAGTCTACTCGGCCGTCGAGCGCAAAAATAAATTTCACTGCGAAATCCTTGGAGCTGGCGTCTTTCGGCCTGCACAAGTTGCCGCAGCAAAATAAGCATAAAGTATTAAACGTCGGGTATAATGTTGCCAAAATACATACATATATATATATATATATGGCTGGGAGCACGTATATGCATGGCAGTGTATATGGTAGTACATCAAATGGCAGGCTGTGTCAGCTAGTGGCAGGGGCCAACAGCCACTTAAGCGGGCTGACTGCTATTTTCAGCTTATTGCCAAGAGGCAGCAAACGTAAGTCGAAGCTGCTGCAGTTGCTCTTTTGTTGCTGTTGCCTTTGCTGCTGCACCGGCAGCATAATAAATCGTCTCATCATTTACGGTTTACTGTTGATATATTGACGGCATTTGTCAGCACCACCCGCAAATAGCTAGCCCAGCCGAAGCCAACCTAACTACACACATGCATATATCAAAATTTAAGCTGTAGTTAAAGTTTTCTGGTTGTGTAGCACTTAAAGTATCATTTGCTCTCATAACTTACGCCCAGCAGGCTAGCTAAGCGATAGCGTTCCTTGGCGACACCTCATAAATGGGATAACAACTTTGACATAGGCATAAAAGTTACGCATACGCCGAGTTTGCCGGGCTGCTTGGGCACGTAATCTTAGAGGCACATGTGCGTCAGTTTGCTGTCGCTTTATGATAATCTGAGCCATGTTGTATCAGGGCATTTGGACAAATCTCTTCTGGAACTAAATTGGCAACGGGAAAGCTGCAACGTCTTAGTTGCAACAGGCGAACTGTGCGAAAGGCTGGCAGCTAAAAATAAATTGTCAACGGTGCGTGTTGCCAACTTCTGTGAACGGATTTAATGTAATTGAAAAGTTTGCTCCCTGCATTGCTGGCTTTCCCATTTGCGCCTTTTCGCATTTTCGAATTTTCACATTTCCGCATTTTCAGATTTCTTGGTTTTCTATTTTCTTTTTTGTTCCACCCTCGTTACTTCCACTTTTCTCGTTGCTGCATTTGCGCTAATTTGCAGATTTTCAAATTGCTCTCAGTGCCTTTGTTTATTTAAAAGTTCTTTTCGCTTGGCCGTAGTCGCGTGGGCAAAGTGGAAAGATGCGAGAAGAAAAATAATTATTCTGCAATTTTTAATTAAATGGCAATGGAAAGTGCCACCGTTATTGTTGTCTTTCGTTGTCCTGGTGCTGGTGTTGCCGCTATGCAGAGCTTAAGCTGCTGGAAACAAAAACTCATTATGGGCGACCAAAATCATTAGGATGGCTGACAGTCATCGTCGAAGCGTCGCAAAGCCGGCCAAAAGAACTGCTGATGAGCATGGAAAGTGGAGAGTGGTAAGTGGAAAGTGTAAACTGTAAAGTGTTGATGGAAGCGCACAATTTATTGAAATGTAAACATGCAGCAGCACACAGAAGTGAGTGTAATTAAAAGATAAAAATGTTGTCCAGGCACAAGCCATCAACACACAGCACGTTCCACGTGGCGTATGAGTTATGTGCGGCCGGCAGCCCGCATTTTCGAAAGCAAATCAACTGCCCGCTTAAGTGTGTGCGCTCATTTAAAGCTTCACTGTGGCAAATATAAAAAACCCAAAAGTATATATGTATATATATATATGTATATATACATGTTTGTATGTAATAAGGCAAAAATTTAACTGTAAACACAAAAGAATTTCAATCCGAATCGTTGCTGAAAGCTTGCACAAAACAAGCGCAAAGCGACAAGAGTAAAAAACGTGAAAAGGATCAAGTGTATGTGTGTGTGTGTCTGCTCGTTTGTGTGTGTGTGTGTGTGTGTGCAGTAAAAAGTGCGTCTTGCTATGAGGACGCCAGCTCTCTGACTTGGTCGAAGAAGGGCGCCTGGGGCCGAGCGCTTGTCATCATCAGCATTGTCTGTCGCTTTACTATTTTTGTTGTTGCTGTTGCAAGTTTTTTATAGCATAAGCTAAGACACGATGTTGACGTTGAACTGGCACGACTGCAGTAACAGCAGCAGCAGCGGCAGCAGCAGCAGCAGCAGCAGCAGCAGCAGCAGCAGCGGCAGCAGCAGTGACAGCAGCATTGAAGCAGGACAGTTGGACCCACAAGGCCGACGCTGTTGAAACAATCAATAAATCTAAAGTGCGACTTCTGAGACTACAATTTGCAGTTTGGCTGCCAAGGAAAGGCGCGCAGCAGCTATTGCTTGCTTTTGACAATGTTGTCAGTACTTGAATGCCACGCCCCTCAGCCCGCACTGTCGCCGTTGCAGTTAAGTTTAGTTTCAGCTGCCTTTGCTCTACCTATTTGCATTGGCGCTCTTTGTTTGTCGTTGCTCAGTGGAGCCACTATTTTGCTAGTTTGCGCTGCCAATTTGGCTGGCAGTTCCCTTCGCCTTTGCACTCGACTTGTCTTGCACTTGCATTTCAATTGACTGCATTCTTTTTGCCTCTCATACATATACATATATATATATATATAAATATATAGACGACTGACCATCAGCCACCTTTCAGAGCGCAGTTGTCTTCAAAATTGACTTCATTTTCTTTTCCCTTGCACATTTCTTTCGCCAACTCGATTCAATGGCCTGCAGACAACTTGAAGCTGCACGTT